CTTTTCATAGCTATGTTTTGTAGCTTTGTTCCGAGAAGGAGACTTGCCTTATCAGATGCGGGATTACCTGTTGATGTGGTAAGGTCTTTGCTTTTCCTGTTAGAGAATGAGTTGCTAAAGAATGAGTTGTTAGCCTTATATACATCTATCATTCTATAGTAATGTTGGCTCTCTTGCTGTTGGTGGTTTAGTTGTAGTAAGGGCAGTAGGATTAAGATTGATGGAGTGAAGTAGGGTTTGGTGAAATATTAAATAAAAGGACAGATCCCAACAATCTATGAAAGAAGTCAAGTCTTTAGCCTTATGTCTTTCGAAAGGGGAATGAAATACAATGCTCTTATCCTTCATATGACACCAGGTCCTAGAGGGATTCTGGTGAATCTATTGGAATGGTGCTATTCATTGGATTTTTGATGTGGATGCATTTGTATTTCAAAGTTGACCAAGAGTATGCATTGTATAACAGGGTTGGCTATGGTTGGGAGTCTCATGCCATTTTGCACATTGTTGACATATCTATAGTGCAACGACCTAATTCAATGTTTATGAGATGGCAATAGACTACTGATATGCTGGTACAAACTATTGGGTAGAATTTGCTTGTGTTTACATAGCTCGAAACATATCATCACGTTCTGCAGCCAATGTCTTGGTGGCCCATCATTCCTAATTAGGTAATTTTGTAAACCATGTCACTTACCGGTTGTAACCCTCTAGTAGTTGCAAAAATAAATTTGTTCATACAATTTAACCTCACTATTCTATATATAACAAAACGTGTTGGCCTAGTGGTCAAGTGCTGGAGTCTGGGGTCGTGCTCCCTCTATGGTCTCAGGTTCGAAACATTTTGTGGTAAACAATTTCTTGAGACTAGTTCATATGGGGCTTTACCCTGATTTTAATTGGGCTTCCCGCTAATGGATGGTGGGATACAAAGCTATAAGAAAAAAACAAAATAAAACAATAATTGATTCCCTCAATTATATGTTATATTTAGTTCTCATAATTTGCTTGCAACCCATCTTTCTTTATAAATATATATATATATATATATATGTATTTAAAAGAAAAATGAAAGTTGCAATTTTTTTGTTGTGATTACGTGCATAAAAGACCCCATTTTAAGTTATCGGCTAGGGCCGAAGAACTCAAAGTCAGAAGAATTTTTTTTAAAGGAGAAATTGCCAACAAAAATATAATAGAACTCACATACATATGGTGAGATTCATATATCTAACCTCCTAAGGATTTGCCCAACACTATATTGAAATTTGAAAATTGAAACTATGGAATTGAAACTATGGTAAGTCGTTCCCCAAGATTAAAATAAGAACATGATTTTAGCTGGGATTGGTTTCTCTCGAGTCTTAATTTGGATTGGAGGGGTCTCGTTTCGATGATGTGAACCATTTGTTTTATCAGGCTCTACATTTATATCATCCATAAAAAAAATGAGGTCAATCCGATATTCGTAGTCCCTTCATTTTATAAAATTTGTATCTAAAAAAATTAATAGTTAATGTGTTTTAAAAATAGACCATCTATTTTTTTGGTTACAAATTTAATAAAATGAAAGGACTACGAATATCGAATTAACTTGTTTTTTTTTTTTTACGGATGATATACATGCATGATCCGATAAAAAGAACGGTTTAGATTGTCGAAACGGGGCCCGTAGTGAGCCCCACTAGTTTGGATAGTCCTCTTCAGTCTAGATTGGACTGGAAAGAAGCCTTACTTGAAAGAAATGTTGCAGAAAACCATGACACAACTCAATTGTAGGAAAGAATGAAAATTTAAAAATAAAAATAAAAAGAAACCAGATCATTCCCACTCTGGTTAACTCAAAAATAAAAAAAATGGAAGAAATAAAATCAATACAAGTGATATTTAAAACTGACAGTGGAAATATTGATGTATTGTTTGGTTTTTATAATAACATTATTGTGAAGAAAATGTATGATAATTTTGTGTGTATCAATGGGTTATTTTGTATATCAGAAATCGAATATAAAATGATCAGAAAAATACTCACAAAAACTGTGAACAATAAAAATTAGGGCAAATTACAAACACTCCTCTCGAGGTTTGGTGAAAATACAGATTCCTCCCCTGAAGTTTGAGAAATTACATCCCGCTCCCTGAGGTTTATATTTTCATAACAAATTACCCTTGAGGTTTTTATTTTCATACAGATTTTTTCCTAATTTTTCCTAATTTGTTATGAAAATTTGACTTTCAGGGGACAATTTGTAATTTTTCAAACCTCAGGAGAATCTGTATTTTTACCAAACCTCGAGGGGTGTTTGTAATTTGTCCTAAAAATTAATATGATGGAAATTCAAAATCTAATAGATGGTGACCGAGTTGTGTTTGATACAATATGCTCAAGACGAAATTTCCCTCGCACCACAATCCTCACGAGTTTGAATAGACATCCATCACCCATGATGCAACGATCGGGAACCTCACAGAAGTAACACTTCAATTTACGAGTTTGGCAGACCAATGTAGTGCGGTACTCTCTTTTAAGAGAAGAACATAGTGCAAAAAAGAGAAGCCAAGATGATTTCGATGCCAAATGAATGAAATGGAGGTTTGTATTTATAGACGAATCCATGGTTCTTTGAATAGCCATTGTGACTGTTTGGATGCAAGAGACACCTCTACCATGGAAAAGCTTCAATAGAACGGACATGATTGTTCTCAAAACGTGTTCAAATCTGGATCGCATCCAATTTGGTTTTGATGCAAGTAAACAAAATAATAACAAATTTATTTGAATGAAAAATTATTTTTAATTTAAATAAATTTTTCTTGCAATCATGTTCAAATGATGATTTTTTGGAACAATTTCACATTCACCTTTTAATTATTTTGTGCAACCTAATACAATTAATTAAGGAACAATCATTGTCAAACACAAGAGTATCAACTCAATGTAGTGAGTAGCAACCCACGAGAAGTATATGGTTTAGAAGCTCTTGTCTAGCTTTATTGTAACTAATGACCTTCCCCACTACTATGATTCCTCATCATTTTCTACCCATACAGTAGAAAGTATACTATATACCTGAGTCTCGATTAGTTTTACCCAATGATTGTACATCATTTTACATAGAGCCAACCATCTTGTCGAGTATGGGATAGAACAAAATTTATCCAAGTATCTCACTGAAGAGATTGTGACTTGTAATTCTCATTTTGTTCACACATTTTAATTGGTATAGAATAATTAGGCGTACCATTTTAGGTGAAGTCATTACATATTGTTAGTATGAAATCCACATACGCTCATATTTTTTGTATTGTTCACACAAAACGTAAGTGAACAAAGTTATTTTCGTAACTTGGGGAGGGTTACAACTGATAAGTGACATGGTTTGCAAAATCATCTAGTTAGGTATGATGGGCTACCAAGACACGGTTGCAAAATGTGATGCTATGTCAAGAGGCATGTAAACACAAGCAAACTCTACCCAATGGTTTGCACCATTCCAATAAAATCACCAGAATCCCTCTAAGACGTAGTGTCACATGAATATATCTCAATCTAGTAATAGGACTCCTCTCATAAGCCTCCAATCCAAGTGCTCCAAACACAAAAAACCTTTTCATGAGGACATCTTGATGGATTAAAAGCTAAACTTGGGCCTTCGAGGCAAAGCGATATGGGGATCAGGAAGTGTATTAAACTGCTTGGTGGTAGTATTGACTATTGAAGACAGGATAGTACCATGCACATAACAGTTACACCACCAACTCTGATTCTCTATCAATGCACTATATCAACAAAATACACAGAAGCAATTCAGTGATTTTGCTAATGTCATTCGAACAGAAACCCCACTTTAAATTCATGTGAAAAACATGCAGGACATTTCTTTCACACGAAACACCTAACAAGTCATAGGCACAGTAAACGGACATCAATCAGTTTGACACCAGTCTTCCATCACATGAAAACAACTTCTGTAGACACCTCGCACACTTTCCAATTCAACATGCATATCGGGCATCTCCAACATTTAGGATGCTTTGGGCTTACATTGTTTTACATGTTTAAAGTAAAATATAACTTTGCAAGCTACTTTAGATGACATTGTTTTAAAAATACTAGTTTAGATATCAGTTTAGAATATTAGTCTAGACATATACTAAATCAAGTAACATAATTATCAATATCCACCACATGTACAAAGATTCTAATATTAGATTCATTTTGTTCACACAAACACACTTCCAACGGCCCACTGGGATTCCATGTGCATATTACCTTCGTGAAATCTTCAACCACACCTGTGAGTAACCAAAATATACGATCAATACTAAAATAGAAGCATCTAAAGTAACCACTTGTTCACCAATGTTGATTACATAAACACTTTTATGGCTGTTCAGTTTTCTATGTGATCAAAACAAATATGCGAGGACTTGCAACCTCAACTCTTATGTTGTGTTTGGATCATGGATTTGCATAGGAATTTGGAAAGGGAAATGAAAATGTAAGGGAAATGTGAATGAAATATAAACTAAATTTTTTCTCCATTTTCTTTTTCCTTTCCAAAACCTACCTAATTCGATGATCGAAACACAGTGTTAGTGTTCAGCTATTGCTTCAGCCTACTCTAAACTTGCAAGTTATTAGTCTAGATTTTATTCAACATATGGTACAACATAGTGCAGTCGTTTGTCTAGACCATTTTATGTGAGATAAATGTAGAATATTTTGCACCCAAGGAGGATGGGGAAATAAGGTTACTCCACTGTTATGTGTCAAGGTAGATGGATGGAATGATTGCCTGGTGGTGGGTTACTTTGTTAATAAGAAGTTATGTTTGTGTTGTTAATTCTATTGCCGAAAAACTATGGGGGAAGAGTGGTTACTTCATTGATAAGAAGTTATCTTTTTGTTGTTAACCTGCACAAAAACTATAGGGGAAGTGCGGACTGATTCGTGTTATGTCTAATGTAAAGGGTTTCTTCCTCTTTTGATTCAGTTTTGGAAGGGAAGCCATGGCATTTTGGAGGGAAACTAATGGTCCTAAAGCGATGGGACTACAGAAACTTGTTGGAAGGAAAGTCTAATAAAAGTCCCTGCCTGGGCTAAAATTCTTCAATGTCCCCTTCGAATATTGGGATGAGCAAGGGTTAAGCCACATTGCAAGCATGATGCAAATTCTAGTTGAATCGCAAAAGAGAATTACTTTTGCCAAAATCTATGTTGAGATTGAAGTGGGTAGTAAACTGGTGGAACTTTGACCTGGACAACAGGAATGAGAGTTTTGAAGGGGTAAAAGTGTACCAATGGGTGCTCATCCAGTCTTTGGTTTATGATGTATTCAGGAATGACTGGGGAAAGAAACCAAAAGTAGAATGGAGGCACATACAGAAGCCACAGGGGAGGCCATAGCCAATGACGATCATAATGCCCAAAATTGGGCAAAGATGACCTAATTCCAATAATAAAGGGCAACCATTAGAGCAACGGCAAAACTCAACCTAGGATGTAGCCAATTTGTTAAATGGGGAACATTATCATGAGGTAGGTTTTGATCAAGACCAAACTATCTATACCGTTCAGGTGATACCAGGCGATTCAACAGCTGTGAAGTTCTAGCAAATACTTTTGACAACCTGGAGATGTAGGAAGCTAATTACAAGACCCCAGGCCCATCTATTCTAGATAAAAAGAAATGGGAAGGCTTTATCTTCAACTTATAACAATAGGAGTAAGAATGGGAAGGAAAGTTGACAGTAGTATAACATTAGCAGATACATACACCACGAATAAACTTGAATTCCTGGTTGGTATAAATGGAACACCAACTAGAGATATTTATTAACAAGTTGAGTAATACAAACAAATGATTTTTAAGAACTAAGTAAACATTGTGTTATTAAAACAAGTTACACTCGAGAAATTGTGTAAATGTTATGCATTGAAGTTATAGTCTACAATAATTCTTCACCACAATATATATAGACAAATACATACAAACATGCAAGAAAGAATGAAAATGCAAATTAACGTACACATAATGAACTCTTTGTAATTGCACTTAAAGCGACTCAGGTCTAAAGTTTAATCTTCTGATTACATAATGACAGCTTATTTATTTTTGTTTTTAATACTTTCTTCCTTTGGCTTGCTAAATCAGTTCAGGATATTGTTCAACATGCAGCGGTCATTTACTTTTCTTCTTTCAATATGGGATACCCGGTCCAGAACAATAAAACTTCAAATACTACTATTTCAACACTAGTAGAAATACAAAACATCCCTATTTGCTTGATCAACTATGGATAGATAAAATAAAAATAATTGTCATGTGAGGCTGTGACTCATAAAATTTGTTCACTTAACCATCTCAAAAAACTGTTGATGTAATCATTTGCAATTTTGCGATTTGGATACATATACAAGGAGGCATAGAACTAATGATGATCTGTGTATCCCGCTAAAAATGAAATTAAAAGAAAAATATTAGAAGCTTCAACTAAACCCAGCATTGTTGAAACAGACGAAAAGAAGGAAGACAACAATTTGCAGTTGCATTGTGTAATTACAATGCGTACATGTTAAGGATATGAAGCATAAGCTCAAAAAGGCGATGCATTGACATGAAACAATGATCCATTTGAAACCATTTATCCGAAAAACTAAAAAATAATTTCAACACTAGTAGAAATATAAAACATACCTATTTGCTTGATCAACTATGGATAGATAAAATAAAAATAATTGTCATGTGAGGCTGTGACTCATAAAATTTGTTCACTTACCCTCTCAAAAAACTGTTTAAGTAATCATTTGCAATTTTGCGATTCGGATACATATCCAAGGAGGCATAGAACTAATGATGATCTGTGTATCCCACTAAAAATGAAATTAAAAGAAAAATATTAGAAGCTTCAACTGAACCCAGCATTGTTGAAACAGACGAAAAGAAGGAAGACAAAAAACAATTTGCAGTTGCATTGTGTCATTAAAATGTATACATGTTCAGAATCTGAAGCATAAGCTCAAAAAAGCAATGCATTAACATGAAACAACGATCCATTTGAAACCATTTATTCAAAAAACTAAAAAATAAAAAATGATCCATTTGAAACCATAAATAATATATGGACGTGCTGAAGAAAAAAGACAAAAAAGTATCATTAGTGCTAGAAAACTATAAATTAATTGTCAACAAACAATCAACATGCTTATAGTACCACATAAATTAATTATTCACATTCTCTTTACTTTTCAACATATCTATTTGAGCTCGATTCATATTCTACACATATTTCTGTCATAGAAATGTATTGATATTGAATCGATCAATTACCAAACAAGTCCAGTGTCACCACAACCACTAGGCATAATCAGTGGCCAGCACTTCGCCATGAACTGGAAGAGATTACCCTAATATGTTGTATGCAATCATTCAATGAAATGGCCAGAGTGAGTCAAAACAACAAAAAATCAGTAATGTACTGCCGTTTGTGTTAAGAGTTAGCCATCGTCTTTCTCTTCCAGAGCTGAAGCAGTGAAGCTTCTATAAACTCTCATTAAGTTCTCTATGTTGTGAATATTTTTGTATGTCTATATATACACGAACTACCTTTCTATGGTAAAGTGGCTCTCTGCATATCTCAAGAAAAGGAATGTTTTGAATTTAATAATGGAGGTAAATTCACAATTTTCTCTGAAAAATTGGTAATCACATCAAATTTGACCTGAACAACGGGATGGGGATTTTGAAGGGATAAAAGTGTACCAATGGATGCCCACAGCCAATATGCCCAAAATGTGGGCAAAGATGACCTAATTCCCAGAGTAAAGAGCAACCATTGGAGCAAGGACAAAAATCACCCAGGATGTGGGCAATTCGTTAAATGGGGAACATTATCATGAGGTAGGCTTTGATCAAGACCAATTGATTGGAAGGATTAAAGCATAGGATTGGGATTATTAATCCGTGGGCCCAATCATCCTATGTTTGTTTTGACATTTTAGTTTAGGATTATTAATCCAATGGATAATTAATCCAACAAATTTGTAGGATTATTAGTAATGGGGTAGGGGTGGGATAACTAATACCACACTAATTTAATAGGATTATTAATACCTCACTATTAATGTTGTGAATCAAACATGACCAAAAGGCTTAAATCAATATCGATATCAATCTCTCTCTCTTATAGTGATGTATGCTTGAAGGGATTAGAGTTCAATTTGGATTAAACAAGGAGACATGTTAAAAATGAACAATGGTTCAGATTTTGCCCCCCTAACCCCCCAAACCAAAGTTTGTTTGGTTGAATTTACAAATCCAATCCAAAATTTTAAGCATTCATATAGAAGCTTATTGAATTTCATCTTATGGGAGGACAGATAGTCTCTCCAAATTATCTTCCTTCCACTATCCAACAGTATAAATAATCGTTCAAATCGTATCACACCTTTTATCTCAATCTAACCCAAAAATCTCACTATATATATATATATATATATCATGCAACAATTTCATATTACTGAAAAAAAAAAAAAAAAAAAATGAAAAAGTAGTAAAAGGGACTTTTGTTTCTAATGTTTTTGTACACAGCAACAAAAAAGAAACAGAGGTGTCGAGAGATCGAGAGAGAGAGAGAGAAGAAAAGGAGAGAAAAGTTAGGGTTTCTATCATAGCTCAAATAAAGATTGGACGGTCATTTCTTGCCTAATCGTGATGAAATTTTAGCATGTTGTTCATGGAATCAAACTTTACATTTTGATCGGAGTGGATCTTGTCAAAGTTCTCTTGGATTGGTAGTTTAGGATATCCATTTTGATAAGACCTAAACTTTATATTTTGTTGATTTTCTTGAAATCCACCTTTAAGGTGATAAAATAAATATTGTTAGTGATCGAAGAATATATCTTGATGATTGTATACCTCTAGTTGTGACTAAAGATGAACCATTGTAACTTCATTATTTTATAGTGGAAGTTGATTCGGAGTTGGACCCGTGGACGTAGGCACTTTTGTCGAACCACATAAATTTGGTGATTTTGTGATTGTTTTGTTGCCTTTAATTTTAGCCGTATTGTTGCTTGTATTTTGTGGTTTGTTGTCCATTTTCTAATTACATAAGAAAGGAAAAACATAGGAGTTTTCCCAACAAGTGGTATTAGAGTGGACGGTTCGTGCCTATAAAGTGTTTGATAAAATTCTTGTGTAAATTTTAGAATGAAAGATAATTCGGGGGCTATGATAAAATTGACCTTTTCGAATTATGCGATTTAGAAACCACGAATGGAGGATGTCTTTTAGATTTGTATAGACCAATTTATGATGAAAGTAAAAGGCCGGAAAGTATTGATGTTGAAGATTGGATGATAGTGAATAGGAGAATCGTTGCTCAAATTTGCCATTAGGTTGATGAAAGTATGTTTCATCATGTGGCTCAAGAAACAAATGCTCACACTTTGTAGAAGAAATTGGAAGCCATGTATGAGAGGAAAACTGCGCAAAACAAACTTTTTTAATTAGTAGGCTTGTAAACTTAAAATACAAAGATGGGTGCAATGTTGCGGAGCACATGAGTGACTTCTAAGGTTTGATCAATCAGTTGACAACAATGAAGATTGTCACACTCCAAAATTTTAATTGTTCGGAACATTACCAAAAGCCTTTAATTTAGGTCCTTTTTTTTGTTTTTTAATACAAATATCTATTACCCTTGAGTAATAGAAACATAATAATACATGTTCTCTCTCTCAATGAATACAACAATAGCAATAATACAAGCCAAGCTCCCGCTGGGAAGCTACAAATAGATAATTACAAACATCAAGATACATCATTCATTTCCTTCACATCTACAATGAAATTACACATAAGAGGTTCATGGACTTTTGACTCTTCAACTAATGAATCTGAACTCTCTTCCTGAAAAAAAATAAAATGAGGGATCAGCACTAATGCCCAGTAGGAAATCTCATAATTTTAAAGTAATAACTATCACATAGATAAAAATGATCATGCATGTAGGGTGATACTATATGTAAATCATAAAATATTATGATGCAGCGGGAAAAAATTCATACTCATACCTTTTAATAGAGCCTGAAGCGAAGAATCTTGTGGGTAAATCACGTGCTTCAAGAATGCGAACAACGAACCCAGCGGTGGAGTGATACTACAATATGAGTATCACCCACACAAGTCACAGTGCAGAAGCTGGATCGTTCTAATATGTGAAAGAGTTAGAGAGAGAGTCTGGGAAAAAAGGTTATGGGTAAAAACCACATAACGTGTCTAATATCTATATATTATTCCCATCATATCAGATGTATATAATCAAATATATAACAACCAATATCTATCTATCTATCTATCCATATCTATTGATATGATAGATATAGACATCATGAATGGTTATCCAAATAAGTTTTGAATTCAAATTCAAGCTTACATCGATAAGGTTCAAAAGGTTCAAAGGGTTATGCCACATGGGCGCCCAATTTCTAATATCTCCCACTCGCACATGAGTTGACATGACACTGTCACATCTCTATCTCAATCTCCCAAAAAATGAACATTCTCATACTAGCCAATGCACCGTGCGACTGCTGAGAACACCTGCATGTGGGAGCTCTATACTAGAAAATCAAAATGAGCCAGCATAGAGACATCAACCCAAAAAGAATAGAAATAGTGTCTCATATACCCTAGACCCATCTAATTACACTGGTCCAAAAAACATCTCTAATCCCTCAAAAATAGCATGTTTGACCCTCTCAATTCTTGCAATATATTCACACTCAATCTGCCTCTCATACGGAGCGATGTGAGTTGCCGGTAGTGAATATACAACAGTGGTGTAATACTAGATGATCTTCCCTTTTCCCTCATGCCATTTAGTTTAGGATTGACCGCTTTCCCAGTGATGCCCCTTAAGGCCGAATCATACATGACCGCAGTCAACATACCAAAGTAGTAGAACATCAACCCCTTACCTTATGACATAGTCAAAAGTCACAAAAGGGTACATAAATGAAGTCATATCAATAATGACACGTAAGACTCACACAGTGAGGAAACAGGGATCCATTCTCTCACCTCATTACTCGGTCGCCAAGCACATTAGTATGAATATATGCTACGGTGGAGTAACTCTTCCAAAAAAGAGTGACGTCATACTCGATATACTGTACAGATATTAGTTTAGTCAGTTTCTAGCACCTAACCCGAATTCTCTATTTGCTCGCCATCCAAGCGCCAAATGAGATCTCGCATCTAGCTAATCATAACAGACACAACATGAAAAGTGGATACTAACATCCATGTTTGGTCCTTAAAATGACCTCATCTTGGTTGTAACCGAGGCGACATGCATAGTGGATAATTTAAGCCTCTCTTGGCTCCAAATAAAAATAAACCACTAGTCTCATCCTTGCTCGCTCCCAAGCGCCAAGGGCGATTGCTCGTGTGAGTGAGCCAATCTTGCCTGCTGACATCATCATCTGCTAACCATTATGACACAAACCATAATAGTGTCAACATCCCATCATCTCACAACAAATAAGTGATCGATCTAAAAAATATGACCACAGCTTGCGCAATTCTAGATTCCAAACATAAGTCTTATCTGCACCTCTTGCGATAAACATATACAACGGAATCCTCCATGTACGCCTCACATGAAGTGATTCAAGATCACTACCTCTTGCGCAATAACCTCTCTAAAGATATTTTGGTGACCAATTTGCGTTCATTCTTGATGCGCCCAACTAGTGCATTGAATCTTATAAGGAGCAAATTAATATACTACTAGTTAAGCATTCAATCCACAGTCTAATGAGCAAGGTCAATGTCTAAACAACTCAGTTGACCATTTACCAAAGATAACACTTATCATGCTGAATACGCCCACATAGCGTACTTTAGGCTCCCATAACAAAGAAAAGATCAAGGAATATACGTCATCTATTTCTCCCAAAGACAATCCGAGGATTCACTCAATAGCTAAGGCTCTGGCTTTTACTGATAGGTAAGCCAATGGGTTTGTAATTTTGCATCTAGAATCATTCTAGGATATTCCTTATGTAAGTCATCGAAGACAAAACAGGAATTCTCCCAAAACAATCCCTAAGGATCGTACATCCGAGTATATAAATTACATCACCCATGTCCATTATATCTAAAACAGAGGACTGCCCACCCTAGGTGGCGACAACCCTATAAATTTCTGGCTCATAATGAATAAGTAAGGAAAAACTTCTTTTGGACCATTGATCATGCCTCAGTGGTCTTCATCTATCATCGTTGGCCTATCATGGCTTGACGAAATCTAAGAACCATTATTTGGATAACTGTTTTAGGCTGTAAAAGATTTATTAGAACTAGCAACCTTTTTGCGCTCCTAACTTTTCACCATAAAAGTAGAAGGTAAATCCCTACGGATCTACTTATCCAATTCTCTAACGAGAAAATTGGGTCATAATGTCCACAAATCAATGTTCCGAAGTTATGTCAATCATAGCCTAAGTCAAAATAACCTCACTCCCAGGAGGAAGTCTTCTCATGGTCTACACTTTCCTCAATGGTGCGACTTTTCGGTATCTAGCGAGCCTTATGCCTTAACAATGACTATCCAAATTACGCATAACTTTAGAACAGTTTCGCATCATAATGAAAGTCAACCAAATTATAGAAATGGTTAATCCTCAAAGACTTTGTCTTAAACTGCGCAACATTGATCCACTTTCTAAAAATAGGGGACTAGAGCCTTTGGCATTATCCTAGGCTCTTTATCATCTTGCGGAGCAATCATGAATGTTTCCTTCTCAATCACCCAGTGATGACGTGGAAAATTTGCACATTCGCTACCACACAACTAAGAATGTAGAGTATTCTTCTCTAATGGAGCAATCCATTAGTAG